ACTCGAAAGATCAATTGGAGCTATGTCAAATTGAAGTTCAGTGTAACTCTCAATTTAAAAATTTGACAACACTTCCCGATGAGTGCCAACTGTTGGCATTGACAAGAAAATCAATGAGTTATAATCTTATTGATAGATTGATTCGTCTTATTTTGACTCTTCCAATTTCAACAGTAACTACTGAACGTGCATTTTCGGTTATGAGTGTCATTAAGACAATGTTGCGTAATAGAATGGATGATGATTTTTTGTCCAGTACCATGCGTGTGTATATAGAGAAGGAGATTGTTGATACTTTTCCATTAGATTCTCTTATTGACGAATTTGAAGTGATGAAGATAAGGAGAGACCAATTTCAGATGTCCAAACCATCTCTACCATCTGTTATATAGATAAGTAGTTTACTTTTTGTCTTTTTGATGTCCATCTAACGTTCATATTTTCAATTTGTATAGCGTTTGACACATAGATGAACATATTGTTTTTGTATCGACAAACTAATTATTTTTTTGGTCAGTAAATCTAATTTGCCTATTTTAGTACTCAAAATCGTTGTTTCAATCCTCTTAGTTAGAAATTTTTTTCGGGGCTCCCATATTTTCGCCCCCGCAAGATTGAAATCCTAGCTACTTCCCTGCTTGTCAAACTCACAATTCACTGTAATTTTTACTATCGTGCTTTCCAGCTCTCTCCGAAAAGCTCTCTTGACTCTTTTATGTTCGTCGATTCATTATTCATGAAAGAGTTTCTTGATTTATTATGTTTTAAGTGTCATACCTTTGTTTATCAAGGAAGAATTTGGCACTAGTATTGAGAACTTTTATACTTTGTGGAATTTAGATGAAATCAAGCCCTAATCCTTTTGCCTCCTCTATTAATGTCAAAATTTTCTTTGTACATGTTTTTGTTTTGATTTGTGTGGATTATTGTAATAGAGTCGTCGAATAAATTGCTCCAAGAAAGTTTCCTAATGCAAAATCGATACTGTGTCGACCACAAAGATTATGGCTCAATTTAAATTTACCCACACACCAATTAACATTGAATTCAACCTAACGAACATAATTAACAAATAATTAAGCTATAATTCATCCAAATCACTAACAAATACTTCAATTTAATGATCTAAATAAGTGTACAAAATACACTTATCACGTAAATTAATGAGATATATGAACTTTACAGTTTTACAGCCCACTACCGTTCGCCCTAAAGCTTTCAGTGACTATAGCAACTCGACAACAACATTCGGCCAATGGTTAAACTGCTCAGAATTAGTGTATTGTCAAAAATAGAAAATTAACACCACCAATAGATCTGAAGTCAAGTTTGGAGAGCACGGTCTTAAGGGACTGCACCGAAATCAGCCCTATGCGTCAATACCCACTGCACTAGTCACTATGTGTGGGCTTATATGTTGCATTATCGAGCCTCCACGCATCGCATGCACAGGTCAGGGGGCTTCGCCTTGTCGTTTGGAGAAAGGATATGTCTCCGTTCACTTAGGCAACGTTTGGTTTGTTCGAAAAATGGGATTGTAGCCGTGGTTGGAGAATTCTTTGAATTGTTTTTGAACCGATTGTTAGTATAGAGGTTTTCTTCTTTTGTTTGATGATTTCACATGCCAAGGACTCTAAAGCTATGTTCTGGTACCATTTGTCGAATAATTGCATCACCATGAAAGTTTCACAATGCAAAATCTACACTTTTGGCGACTACAAATATTATGGTTCAATTTAAATCCATCGACACACCACAAGGTTACTCGGTTACTCCAATACCAAAGCTCAACCAACACAACACAAAGATTGCCCATAAATGTCTAGCAAACTAAAGACCTTCTAGTATCCACAATGGATAAATCCTACAAAGTAAGGTATGAAGGTGACACTTACAAAGAAAAGAGAATGAAGAACACACAAATGGCCGTCTCTCACCTTTTTCTCTCAAACCACATGACTGCTCTTACAAAGGAAGGGAGAAAAACGACGACTGCCCAAATTTTCTTCTTATCACCGCATTTAAACAATGCATATGAAAGAAAGAATATATAAATAACCAAGAGTTAGGTCAATCACACAAATGAACCAAGCCCATAAATGGTCCAACACTCCAAAACTTAACAGACCATCACTTATACTAGTTGGGTTGAGCTTTTGGTTTGGATCCCATCTTGTGGTGTTAATTCAATCCTCGGCTGAGGCCTATGAATCTAACTTAAACATTAAACCTTAGTAATTAAACATCATATTCGTGAGATTTATTCGGTATCAACAATAAACCCAACATGAGTGGTATCAAGACATTGGATCTATGATCTAGGATTGTAATATCAATCTATTTGTGAAAAAGAGGACCAAATAGAGATTAAAGAAAAAGAACCCATCCAAGTTCTCTTTGGCGGTGATTTTATTATCCTATATAGATAGTTGGCGCGTGAGAGACCTCTGCTTCTTCCCAGTGATCTGAATTGACTTTGGTGGTGGCGCGTGAGGCATGTTGGGATCTGCTGGTGGTGGAATATAGGTGCATGATAACCTGACGAGCCATCCTTGGCTACTGAAATTTATCTTTACAACAGGGAAGGCATGTTTCACAGATAACAGTACAATGTTGGTAAACTCTAGGGCAAAAAAATAAAAATAAATAAAACCATAGAGCTGATGATTAATTTCGCATCTTCAATAATAATGAACACCCAATTTGTTCGCTCGATTTAAAATTTTTGAAACCTGAACATTTTTTCCTAATCTAATCATAGCTATCTCGTCGATAACAAATTGTTTTTGCTGAGTTTTATTTGTTGAAGCTATCTCGTAACAATCAAACTATTTTTGTTGGGTGTATGATATGTTAACAACTATCTTGTTGATAGCAAACTGTTTTTGTTGAGATTTTGTCTCTGTTTTTGTCTTTGATTAATCTTCTCTGAAATAAAAATTGTTGAGCTAATAATTGCCTAAAAAATTTCTAGTTATTACTATTAGCAGCAACAAATCTTGACAAAAATATATGATGGAGGAAAGCAATGAATTATCGAAGANTTGACAAAAATATATGAAGGAGGAAAGCAAGGAATCATTGAAGACAAATTGATCAAGATAATTGATGATTATGATGATGTGCTTAATTTTAGGAATTGTTATTTATCTTTACATATTTAGTTTATTGAGTTGTACTATATATTGATATTTTCTCAATGAATAAACTTACAACTCCCATTTCTATCATCTTTAGAATTTCTTCTTGGTATCAAAGCAGGTTGCAAGCTTCCGCTTCCGGCGATCGGCCTAGTGCCGCTCGTCTAGCCAACTTTTTCATTTTCCTTTTCTTCTAGTTTTTTTTTTTCTAAAATGCTTGTCCATCAATTTTCTTCTCCTTGTCATCATGATTTCACTTTCCTACACATAACAATTTGATTCTCGCTCCTCTCAAGTTATCTTCCACCATATATATCATTCAAGATCCAGATAATACAAATCAATATCCTACCTGTACCAAATTCAAACAACACAACAACAACAAAAATGCATACCAAAAATCAACGTATGAATCCATTCTCTGAACAAACTCTTAGAGACACAACCCATACAATATGGGATACACAAGATTCACAAAAATAAAACAAAAAAAAAAAAGCGAATTCACACCACCACAACATGTGACATAACTTCACAAGGATGAAGATTTTAAAAAAATGGTGATTTTTTTCACAACATTAGTATCGAAAACAGCTTTCATTCATTTTTTTGCAACAAACTTTGCCTCCAATCTCGGCAAAGTTTGAGGGAGAGTATTAGTAGCAACAAATTTTGACAAAAATATATGATGGAGGAAAACAATGAATCATTGAAGACAAATTGATCAAGATGATTGATGATTATGATGATGTGCTTAATTTTAGGAATTGTTACTTATCTTTACATATTTAGTTTATTGAGTTGTACTATATATTGATGTTTTCTCAATGAATCAAATTACAACTCTCATTTCTATCATCTCTAGAATTTCTTCTACTTGAACTATTTTTCCTCTTGAGCTGTGTTAGCTTGTTGAAATTACAGCTTAATAATACATCTTCCAGACTTGACCTACTCTATATTTTTCCTTAACCTAGGAACTTGATTCTTACGAAATCCTAAGAGTATAGGACATAGTATATTCTTGTGACCTCAAATTGAGGAATAACATTTCTTTGGTGATTTTTGCTTGCTTGATTGTGTTTATATGCCACAATTTGTAATGTTAAGATATTTGGATGAGTTGATACTTTGTGTACTTGTGCCTTTTTTTTTTTAAGTTGAGTCCCAAAATGGCTGCACATAGATTTTTTTATTTATAGATTTTAAATTGGGTGGTGATTTTTTTTTTTTTTTTTTATATAAGGCAATAAAAAAGGAGAGGAAATTTAGTAAAATCAAAAGGTTTCTAAAGCCATAGAGAGTACTTCAGTGTCTAATCTAATTGTAGAAATTGATTATTAAGTAATTGTAGCATTTATGATTTTGAGCAATACATTTTTGTTTTTGAAAAATTTGAAGAATATGTATAAATGTCAAATAATACATTATTTTATCTATTTATTAGTTTAGAATATTTAAATAATATTAAAAATTGGAAAATGCATAATTATGCAAAGCTTCGCATAAACATGCATATACTTGTAATGTTTAATACTTAATCGAAAAGAATTGTCACGCATAACTCATTTTAGAACCATAGATTTTATGTTAGCATTATTCTAATAAATGAACAATCTTGCTATTTATACGTCATCTTTTATATTATTGTTTATATTGTGTCACGTGATAACACATTATTGAACTGTTTAAAAAAAAAAAAAATACTTTTTTCGATCCACAATTTTTTGAAAATAAAGTGAATTAGGAAGATATACAAATAGCATATTGATAAATGGATATCATTTTCTTGGACAATAATAGAAAAGAAAAAGAAATTCATTTTTCATAAAACCTGCGATTTACGCCAACGCCACGTGAATGGTGAATACAGATCCTCCTAGGACTTTGTTCAGTCAACTTCCAGGACTTGTTCAGTCAACTTCCACTCTTCCATGGATTCTCTTTTCTTCGCAATTGCCGATGTCCCTTCGTGCATATATAAAAACCCACTGCCCCAAGTTCTTCTACATCCTCAAAAACCTCTACTCGTTCTTCTCCAAATCAATGGAAGAATCAAATCCATCCGACGGAATAAGCGATACTCCGCCGTCGTTCGATCCTTTAGCGCCGGCGGTTCCAATTTCGTACCCTCTGAAAACACTCGAGGAATTGGAATCGCGGGCATACTTCAAATCGTTCCATTATCCTTTCAACAAGGCTACTGAGAAGCTGAAGGGCGATTTGCCTAAGAGGCAGCAGATTTTGGTGTGCCATGACTTCGCGGGAGGGTATACTGATGATAAATTTGTGCAAGGTGGGGTGAATGCTGATGCTTACGCGGTTTGGCATTGGTATTTGATTGATATTTTTGTGTATTTTTCGCATAATTTGGTGACTTTGCCGCCTCCTTGCTGGACCAATACTGCTCACAGACATGGTGTAAAGGTATGATATATTTAGTTGTACTCTCACAGCGCATAATTTGATTTCCCTAACTCTTCGGCCTTTTGTGGTTGAGTGTGTTGAGTTGATTTTCAAAAGTGTACTATGGCTGAAGATTACATGGTGATAAAATTTAACTTTATTTTATCTTGGAAATCCATAATTGATTTTGCTTGACTTTTTCTCTTTTTCTTTTTGAGTTTTAGTACGAATCTTTTACTTCACACGATTAGTTTAAATTATGTATGGATGGGTTTGAGTGGCTATGTTTTTGGTTTTCTTCATATTCGTGTCTTTGATTAGATCATTGCGTATTTAAGGTATTAGGGACTTTCATCATGGAATGGGATGAAGGCAAAAAACTTGCTGAAACACTGCTATTGACGAAGGAGTCTGCTCATATGTACGCTGAGCGCTTGACAGAGCTTGCTGTTGCTTTGAACTTTGATGGGTGGCTGGTAAAATTCTGTTTTTTGACTTACAATCTCCATTCTTAGATTGTCTTTTTTACGTTACAGTAGTCATGGGTGATCTGCATTCAGGCCACAGACATTTTTATAGTCCTTTTGTTTTTAATCTCCCAAATTGAACCCGAGTTCTTTATTGGCATATTGATTTTCCAGGGAATGGTTTCCTCATCTAAATACCTGTCTAAGAATTTGTTGTTTATAGTTACACGGTTGGGATTTCCAGTTCTGCATACATGAAAGGAAGATAGATTCAAAATTTAAAAAAGTTCTATCAGATATCCTTTCCGTCACTATACTACATTACTTCTGCTATGAGCTAGTGCAAATCCATGCATTTTAGTTGTACTGAATCTCCATAGCAACCAGCTTCTTTTCTATGTAATTTACTGGATCTTAGCTGCACTACGATTTTCAAATGACTTCACAGACTATGGGATAATTAGCAAAAATAGCAATTGGTTTTTCAAGGTTTTGTTCGTTTTCAGAGTGACACAAATTGATGTATATTTAGTTCATTTCTTTTTACAAATAGGATTTCTTTTGTGTTTACAGATCAATATGGAAGTCACTTTGGATCCTAAGCAAATCCCGAACCTGAAAGAATTTGTAAGCCATTTAAGCCAAACCATGCACTCATCAGTACCTGGATCTGCAGTTATATGGTATGCCGACTAACGAAATAAATTAAAATACTCATTCAAAATTTCCTACTTTCTTGCCTATTTCGATTTGGTTTGATTGGGTCCTGTGCGCCATGAATTTTTTCCCTCAAATTCCTTCTTATCGGTTACTCTTGCTTTAGTTGAATGATTTGACCCGTTCTCTTCTACATGAAAAATTAGACATCCAACTTGTCCGCAACCAGCGGCGGATTCAGCACCCTGCGAGCACCAATGGCAACCTGTGCTGGATCCGTCGGCATTCTTTTTTTGGTGTCAGTGTATATTATTTTGGATATATATATCTGTAATTTCCTTTTTTTTTTTTTGTTTCAAAGAAGCTCTTCTAGTTCAATTGGTTAGAGTCCTCATTAATGAATGGGAGATCTTGAATTTGACTCTTATCGATTGCAGTCCTTTATGCAAATGATTTTATTTAAATTATTTTTACCATTTTGGAGCATATGCATCAAAATCGGTGCAATAGGAAGATTCAAACTTGTGACTTCCTTTGAGAATATAAAAAGCTTGACCACTGTGGCATTTGATGGATGCTAATATTATATGTAAATAAAATATATATATTCTCTCTTTCTTTTAATTTTTTTAAAACTAAATTTCGACTTTACAATGACCCAACAATTAAAATACAGATCTATTGGTTGAACCATTGATTCGATGATCCGATAATTTGTTTGGGTCAACGATTGGGTTAAATATGATAACTATGTTTTGATTAGAGTCCTCATTAATGAACGGGAGATCTTAAATTTGACTCTCATCGATTGCAGTCCTTTATGTAAATGATTTTAGTTTAATATTTTTCACCATTTTGGAGCATAGGCATTAAAACTGGTGCAATAGGAAGATTCGAACATGCGACTTCCTTTGAGAATATAAAAAGCTTGACCACTATCGCATTTGGTGGGTGTTGATATATTATATGTAACAAAAATATATGTTCAGTTATATCAAGTAATAGATATATTCTCTCTTTCTTTTAATTTTTTTAACTAAATTTCGATCTTACAATGACCCAACAATTAAATTGCTGATCTACTGGTTGTACCACTGATTCGATGATTCGATAATTTGTTCGGGTCAACAATCGGGTTAAATATGATAACTATGTTTTGAAAATTGAAAAAATAACGAAGAAGAAAATTAAATTGGCAGTTGAAACCCAAAAATGTATTTGTTTTGATTTTGTTATTAGAGATTATTTAATCGACAAAAAAATTTGGCAAAAGGGAAAGCATTGAAACTAATTTTTCTTCACACATTCAATGACAAAATCTCTGTCATATTTAAAACTACGAAATAGTTTTTTTTTTTCCCGTTAGAATGATATTATTTTGCAAATTGAACCTTGAAAGTAAGTAATTGGACCCATTTTTCAAATTTGAAATCCTTACACGATATATATTATTAGACGGATAGATAACATACATCCATACTTGCAATTTGAACACGATATGAGTAATTTCAATTCACGATATCGGTTATTATTGTGGCCATTGATGGTGAACGGTCAATGACCACCCGTGCTCACTCAAGATCCTGGATCCACCGCTGTCCACAACGATCTAATTACGAGAGCGGTCTTGAGATGTATACAACTAAATGCTTTAAGGTGATGGTGTAGGTACGACAGTGTTACCATTGATGGTGATCTTAGCTGGCAAAACCAATTAAATGACAAAAACAAGCCTTTCTTTGACATATGCGATGGCATTTTTTTGAATTATTCATGGAAGGTAGTTCTTTATCTTTATTTGCAAAAGTGCATCTGGCTTTGAACTATTTGGTTTTATCCTTAAGATTCCTCTCACATATGATGCAGGAAGATTATCCGAAATCATCAGCTGATGTTGCCGGTGACAGAAAATTTGATGTCTACATGGGCATTGATGTTTTTGGAAGGGGTACTTTTGGTGGCGGACAATGGACTGTAGGTTTCAATGCCTTAACCATGGCAACGGGGAAATATTTATTAATTTCTAGATTTTGTTATGGCTTTTTGGTGATATAATTTCTTCCTTTTTAAGCGCTTATTTAACCTCACATTAAGTAAGCATTGAAAGAAGTTTCTTTACCATGTCTTTTTTTGTGTGTCTCAGTGTGTGCGCGTGTTAAGGGGTTCAGTTTGTTGGTTCTATTTTAAGATAATAGGAAAATGAAATGGGTATATACGGCATTGAACCTCAAGTTTAAGCACCTATATTATCAATTTTAGTTTATTGCTTAATGGCTATGTAATTATGATTTACTTAAATAGCTTAAAAACTTTGCATTCCCTGGTTTATGTTATCTGTTTAGTAGAAGTATTAACCAGCTACTTTCTAGCGACTCACCATTCTAAACTTCGAAGTATTTACAGTTTTAGATAGACTAGTCTTATCATTTTCTATGATGCCTGGAGATCTGAGAAATGTAAGGCAAAATACATTGTAAGGATCACATTCAGGCATTTAAATGATGGTCTTTTTCTTGCTGAATGAAGTTTAATGACTTCAAATGTGAACTACTATAGTAAATGTTTCCTTTCTGACTTAATTATTCAAAATAAATTGACTGCTCATTAGGCATACCCTGTAATCTTTGAATCTGAGGATTAGACTTTGAGATATCATGAAAATGAAATTCTTGGGTGTCAATGTGATGGTACTCAACTCCCTAAAGAGATTATGGATTAGGTTTTCACTTGCATACCTTCGATAATCAGCTACAGAAACCCCTTCACAAAGTTTCTATTGGTTTTGCACACTTAGCTGTGTAAAAGTTGCAGACATTCATGAAAATGTAATCTCATCTTCTTTGCACAGACAAATGTTGCCCTTGACGTGATAAAGAAAGATGAAGTTTCAGCTGCCATATTTGCTCCTGGATGGTTGTACGAGACTAAGCAACCACCTGATTTTCAAACAGCTCAAAATCGGTAAAGCATGTCTTTTCTTATATTGCCTTTGGAACTCGTATGCTTTCCATTTTAGCTGTTGCTGATACATACTGGCATGTTCATCTTGATGGATCCTAATGCACAGCTGGTGGGGACTTGTCGAGAAATCATGGGGGGTTGTACAAAACTATCCCAAAATACTTCCCTTCTACTCAAATTTTGATCAGGTATAGTCATGCACGTGTTCTTTATATGTTAATTTCTTTATCCTTCATCTGTTCATCCTCTCTGCATTAACCCATCTGTTGGCTTGCTTGTCTGATTTTCACTGGTTGTCAACTGGCAATATAACCAATTTGGTCCTTAAATCCCGGTTAGGCTCTATTGGAAGTAAACTTAGAAGCTTGATTTCATGTATGCTGCTAATGCGTGTTCAGAAAAATAGAGAAGAATCATTAGCTAGCAAGAACATTTTATATACACTTTACACCTTTTACTTACTCCCCATGAAGCTGAGAAATGGGGGGCTAGGCACAAGATAATTTGATGAAAAAAATAACAAGGGCATATTATTGCCTAATCCTTAATATTGTTTTGTATTTGGTATTGATAAGATCCAAGAGCTCGTGGGGAAACTGCAATTGAATCTATCAACTACAATGTAGATCCGTAACTTTATTATTTCTCAGGGTCATGGTTACCATAACTATATTGATGGGGAGCAAGTCTCAGGCACTCCTTGGAACAATATTTCTCTCCAAAGTTTTCAGGTATTTCTTTTGAGAGATGTTTGTTGTTTTTATTTCCTTAATATAGTTTTCTTTTTGATTGATTTCCATTCTCATAACTTGTACGTCTTATTACAGCCTTTTATCGAATATCCTGAAGACCCTACTACTCAGCCTATCCAAGTTGTTGTTGAGTAAGTTGCTTCGCACATATATATCATTCTAGTCTTTATTTCTGTTCTTGGACATATTAGTGATGATTCGAGTCATCATATAATTTATGATAACATGATTTGGTCATATACATAATCGTCGAATGCTAAAAGCATTTCTGTTTACGTTTGAGCATAGTACTTTTCCCTCAAAAATCCATTTTAAACTTGCACCATAGAAAGTTCTTGGGAATAATTTTTTTCCTCCGTTTCCTAGTATAGAAAAATGAAAAGAAAATTCTTCCGGTCCACGTAGAGCATTTTCCTGCAGTTAAACTTGAAGCATGTGAATCCTTTCTATGATGTTGTTCTGCTCAACCTCTTTGTGAGTACCCATGCATAATCAAAATTCTGAATTTTTTCCTGAATTGACGTTACATTTCATTCATTAGGAGTGTGTGAGGGTTGGCTAGAGACGTGGCATTGGTAATTAATTTTTTATTTTAGTTGTCCATTTCACTGCACATTCAGAATTATATTTCCCATATCAACATTACAACTCATTTATGAGGAGTGATTGAGGAGAGGTTAGAGCTGTGGCATCGGTAATGAATTTTCTTATCTTAGCTGTCCGTAGCACTGCATATTCATTTTTTGATTTTTCTTTTGCTATTTGTGAAAGAAAAAAAAAAAAAAAAACTTGTATATTGCACTGAATTTTGCATATGTTTGCAAATGGTAGTTTTAAAGATGCATCTTATAGTGGAGGAGGAAACATCAAATTTATAGGAACTCTTGGTGATGATACTTTCACAGCACGCCTCTTTCAAGGAGAGCTCCTTTTGGGGAATTCACCAGTTCACTTCACTTATTCTGTAAGCATTCACTTGTCAATTAGATTTACATACAGATTCTTATTTGAAATAAAATTCTGTGCTATCAGGACAATTCAAAGATTAATTATCTAAACCTTTCGATGTCTTTTATGTACAATTGATGTATGAAAATATATTTTTTTAGATGAAACAGTGATTTGTATTAACTTATGCAGGTTAAATCAAGTGGGAACTCTCTGCTCGGTCTTGCTCTTGAGTTCTTTTCTGCCAAGAATGAGAAAAAGTCGGTACTTCTTGCATCCTCAGGAAATACCCTGCTCACCATGAACCGGTTCTCTAAACATTTTTCTAATGTGATTATGTCACGTCCAGTCACCAAGTTGGAGACAGAGCCCGGGTGGGTTATACAAGAAAGTAGTATTGAAATGGATGGATACACGTTAAGAGAAATTCGGGCCATATGCTACCAATCAAGGCTAGCAAAATCTGAAGCCGTCATGAAAGATAAGACACCATCTCGTGATCCATCTGAATACTATGCAGTACTAGGTTATATCAGGGTCTACACATCTTCAAAGAATACGGATTTTCCACCATCTGCATCATGGATTGTTAATAGTCACTACGTTCAATTCACTTCAGGTCCTCAGGGGTCGAAAAACCTTAGTATTAAGATTATTTGGCAATTGAAAGAAGGTAATACTGATCCTTTCCCCAACTACTATATATATGTTGAGAAGCTAAAAAGTGCTTCTGGAAATCCGAATGAAATGCTTGAAGGGGCTGATCAGGAGTATCTTGGAGTGGCAAAAGTGGAATGCTTTTACATTTCTGAACTAGTAGTTCCTTCTGGTACTTCTAGTCTGAAATTCATAATACAAGTATGCAGTGCTGATGGAGCCTCCCAAAAGTTGGAAGATTCTCCATCTTTCACATTGAAAGTTCCAGCTTCATAAATTTCAAATTTTTATGTTAAAATTATCAATAACTATGTTGCTTGACTTTTTCTTCATTATAAGCCAAGTGGAAATAAATGTACTACTTATCTATATATTGGTAGAACGTCAATAAATTTGATATCCGTAATTTATTCGCAAGGATCTTACGCGGACGGAAAATATCTTCAACCAATTGAAGCTATAAGAGCTCTTTTACAGAACACGTGTCAACGACAATATGCTCGCTAAAAGAATCATTTTGACAGAATAGGGAAAATAATCTCTTATTTACTAGAAGCAAAAAAAATATAAGCACTTCGTGCATCGTCCTTGATTATACTCTTGTAGAAATACGACAGTCTATAAAGAAAGAATTATGAGATTGTGAGAAAGAAAAGGGCTGCAGTCTCATGTTTTCTTTGAAAAGAGGAAATGAAGGAAAAGAAGATATATATGTGTTTCGCGCGGGTTGTCGCTGACAATGAAAAAAGGTTCGGACGATTGTGTAAGGAACAGACCTTTTGAGACAAAGTCCCAAAAATGGGTGTTTTATTAGTGAAGATTTACAATAGAAAATAAACAGAATGCCTACAAGGGGCGCAAGCACACGCGTACTAAAAGGAGTGTTTTAAAGTTAAACTAAGAAATTGAAATTACTTATTCTCTGTTGAGAGTGTTTGATTCGGAGTCCCTCTTCTCTATGTCTTCCTTTCCTTATATATTCCCTTGATAGTTTCTTCGTGAAAAAACTGTTTGGAAACCGTTTGATGCTCTATAATTATCAACTTTCTTCATGATGACAGACTTATCATGGAACTGCCGTCTCTAACTGTTGCCATTACTCTTGTCGTTTAACTGCCTACAACCGTGATTCTTGGAT